CCAGCCGTTCGTTGCCCAACGCAGCCAAGCACGGCACGGGGCAGCAACTGCACACGCAGCCAGCCCAGTCCGCAGGAGCCCGGGGAGGAACCTCTGCCCTGGCCGAAGCGTGGCCTCCCCAGCACGTCAGGGTGCCATACAGCCTCTCCAGCACGGCCCTTCCCTGGGCGCAGACCAGTCTCAAAGCAAAGCCTTGAGAAAGCTGCCTTTGGCTTGGCTGTTGTCCTGACAGCGTCAAGGGTGCAACGGCCACGAGTGAAGACAGGCAAGGGAAGAAACTGCAGCGTATCCTTTCCTCCGCAGAGGCACTGGGTCCAAACGAGAAGGCCTCAAGGCCTGCGTACTGCCCTCACCACCCCAAGAAGTTCAAGACAACAAACAGCTCCAGTGAGGAAAAAGATAAATATAACCTGATGCCAAGGTGCAGACACCACAGAAACGGGAACACCGGTGACGTGCCTACCTGAAGCAGTGGCCTGGGCCCGTTCGGCCAGCTCGGCCCGCCCTCTGATTGGCATTGGCTTGGCTGATGGGGTAGATCTGCAGTGCATCCATGCCGATACGGGGGTTGAAAACCTGCAGGGCACAAGAAGAGCAGACTGAAGGAAGAGGAAGGCTGGGTCGCTACAACAGAACTCCCTCAACCCAACCCCAGAGATCACAGACATAAACAGCAGAGGGAATCCTGGCTTACCTTCAACTTGCAGTAGCCAGAGTCAATCACAAACATGATGCCGTCCACCGTCAGTGAGGTCTCTGCAATGTTGGTGGCAACAATGCACTTCCTGACCCCATCCGGAGCCTGCAAGCACACCGCACATCAGTCAGATCCCCGGGCAAGGGCCTCTGCACTGCTGAGGAAGAGCGCAGAGCAGCAACAGAGACCCCAGAGAGACAGGGGTGACTCCTGAGAAGCTGAGGGGACACACGCTTTCCCTCGCCCTCCACATGCAATACAAAAGGCACGCCTGCACCTCTCACTCCTGCTCAGTCGTCTTCCCTGCACTAGTTTCCCTTGTCCCCACTCCCACCACAGAGCACACGTCAGCACCTTCTGGAAGATCTTGGCCTGCAGGTCCGACGGTAGCTGAGAATAGATAGGCAGCACAGCAAGAGCAGGCGCCTTCTCCAGCTCCTCAAGGTGCTCCACAATTTGCTCTGAGGTCACCTAGACACAAGGAGGGGTATAAATGTAACACTAAAACAACAAGGGGTAAGACAGTGCCTGCCCTTCCAGCTCACCTCTATGTCCTCCTGGCCAGGCATGAAGACGAGGATGTCTCCGGGAGCACCAGACAAATGGACCTGCAGGGCTTGTTTCACCGCAGCCTCCACGTAGTCCTCCTGGGGGGTCTGAAAGGCACAGCCCGGGTTACAGATGCCAGCAATCTCACCTGCCCTGTCCTGTGCACAAGAGTGCAGCACAGCACAGCTGCTCCTCCTCTGTCCTTTCTCTCCACCGCAGACTACAGTACACCCAGGTCACAACAGAACTTCCCTCTGCAACGTTAACCGTACCTTGCTGAAAAGAATATCGACGGGGAAAGTGCGCCCGGGAATGTGGAAAACAGGAACGTTCCCGAAGAAGGAGGCAAATTTCTCGGCATCCATGGTGGCCGAGGTGACAATCAGCTTCAGGTCCGAGCGTCGGGCCACCACCTAGAAAGCAGACAAAAGGAACAATAAGGAAGGGGCATCTGCGCAGGGCTGCAGACTGCTTCTGTTACTACTGAGACAACAGCACAGGACAGAGCTCCTGCTGTACTCTAGAGGCACTGGCCACCAGTGCCAGGGAACGCAGACGCTGTACGAGCTGTGCAGTTCAGCAGACCAGCCGACCTCAGTCCAGGAAGCCTCAAGCCAGCAAAGCTCTCTGTACCTAGAGTTTCTGACAGTCAGCCAGCAAGCCTCAGGCAGAACTTAGGCACCAGGGAAGATTCAGTTCCCCAGAACCAGGGACCAGGAGGCTGGAGCAGCAAGCGCAGAGACATGGCACCTCTCCTTCCCTCTCCCAGGCCTGGGAGGGAAGCGTTGTCCCTGCCAATCCTCTGCTTTAAGCCCAGCTCGTGTTCCCTGCGCTGCTGCCCTCTCGTCCAGGCTCACACGCACCTCCCGAAGCAGGCCAAAGAGCACGTCCGTATTGAGCGAGCGCTCGTGGGCCTCATCCATGATGATAGCACTGTAGTTGTCCAGGTCAGCCTCTCGCAGCGACTCGCGAAGCAGGATCCCGTCTGTCATGTACTTGATCACTGTGCTCTCAGACGTGCAGTCCTCAAAGCGGATGGCATAGCCCACCTGGGAGGGCACAGAGATTCCAGCCGGTATTCCCACAGCCCCAGGCACTCACCGCCATCAGGCAACACCCCTGCACCCGCTGCCAGGCTCACCTCCTCTCCCAGGCGCACCCCCATCTCTTCACTGACCCGCTTGGCAACCGACATGGCCGCCACTCTGCGGGGCTGGGTGCAGCCGATCATGCCATAGTCTGTGTAGCCATCCTCGTGGAGGTACTGCGTCAGCTGCGTCGTCTTCCCGCTCCCCGTCTCCCCCACCACAATCACAATGCTGTTGTCTCTGCAGAAAGGCAAAAAATCATTTCTTCATACACCACGAAGAAGGGCTTTTGCGTTCACAGCCCCGGCTGGCCACCCAAGCGTTGTCCTGCTGGGGCAGGAGAGCTGCCACCGACCGCACAAAGCGACGGGCTTTGTTTCCTGAGGGTACAGCTTCTGAAGGGGCCGGGTATCTCGGAGAATTTCTCAGTCAGGTTCCTGAGATGTAGGCCAGTGCCCTGGGGATGCTCTACGGCTGGCTCCCTAGCAGCCATACCTGAGGATGGAGAGCAGCTCCTGCCGCACAGCAAAGATGGGCAGATACTGTCTCTGCTCCAGGATGGATTTCTTCTTGGCGAACTCGCTGCTGGCTTCGCTTTTTTCTTTCACGTGTTCGGCAAACTTCTGCTCAGCCCTAAGGAAACAGCAGAAGTCCTGAAACCGCCTCTCCACACACCTTGCTACGCCTACAACCCCCGTCACTGCCTGAGCAGGACCAATTCAAAGGAAGTTCCTACTTGTAATCCACTTTGCCATCTTCTGCCACCATCTCGTCCTTTTCCTCCTCTTTCTTGATCCCCATAATGTCTCCCAGCTTCGTGCCTGCCAGCTCCCAGTGCTTATGCTGAGCCTGGAAGGACAGAGAGCAGTGTAACTTTGCCACAGCAAGC